AGTCGTTAAAAACAGTTAATTTTACAATTGAGGTCCTATATTTGATACTCGGATAGTTATTGTTTTTGGCTAAACTTGAGAAGACTATATATTGTCATGGTCTCGGAATCTTTCTACCTTACAATACAACTTGCATTACAATTTAACGAGCCTTGAAATTTTTTTGCACGACTCGTTAATCCGACACAAATGACGCAAAAATAACAGATTTTGGGTCAACTTATTAATGAGTCGGATTGTTATTGGATTATCTGTTAAGAGTTTGTTAACGAGTCATGTTGTTATCAGTCACTCGTTTAGAACCCCATAAGTTACTGTTTGCCACGTCCAAACATTGAGCATGACAAGTTATTGTGTGACCTGTTAACTCGACATGAATGACACAACCTGTTAACAAATCAGGCTGTAATCGGACTATCTGTTAAGAACCTGTTAAAATAACGCATATGACACAAAAAAATACAAACATAATAAACACGATTCATTTGTCAGACCTATCCGGGAGGGCAGACTCAACCGGTCTCATCACATCTTTAAAACAGTTGATGTATAGCATGCATTATTTTATGCTAAAAATTTCCGGTCCAGGTGTTGTGCACTGAATCAAATACTATATAGTAATTTTAATTAAACCATACTTTCTGGTAATGAAGTCTGTCTCACACAAGGAGACAAGCTCTCTGGCATGTAATTAGTATGAGGGATCTGATTTTTTTCAATTGTTTATCTTCCAATTTGTGAAATCAGGCCCCTTAATGTGTTTACACATATTTTAGGGTATAAGATAATCTAATCAATTAAATGTGGAGGAATTATTGTTATTAATTAGTAGATGAGATATTTGAAAAATAAATTAGCAGAGGAAAACCTAAAGAGCATGTTGGAAGATAAAATTGTGAGGTAGGCAGGGAGTGTGGATCGAACAAGGCCACATCGTTACATTGGGAGGTCGGTCCAAATCATCTGATAGATAAATGCATAATAATGGCTCAGATGATCGAAAGTGCCGTGAAAATGAGAGATTTTTTAATATGTTAAGAATGTGGCACGAATATCACGTGTTATAATATAAATAGTTAATATATTTTTTGTATTTAACTATTTGTATTATAATACTTAATACACAGCTATTTTAATGGCACGCTAAAAAATGACTCTAACAAAACAACCACATCTCTCTCTCGTGTTTTTATTTGGTGCATTACCTACTAATCATTGCAATGGTTCTGAGCTAAAGGACAAATTCCAATTGTTCCATGTTAAACCAATTGGATTTGGATGAATCCTTATATCTTAGTTATTCAAAATAACTCCATAAATAAAAATCAATATATTTTCTCGAGTAGTGAATGGATATTTCTCAAGTATCTACGGAAGCAATGTTAGAGAGTGGAGAATTAAACTTAGGATCTCGGTTAAATGGAGTGCATGCACTTCATCAACTGAGCTATAAGCATCTTGCATTATCTCAACTTAAATATCATTTCATGCAACACATAGCGGCAATTTTTCAATTGACAAAAACATATGATAGTCACTTGTTGGTTACATATAAATGATATTCATATATATTATTTTGTTCAAATTTGAATTGTGTTCGATTTTTATTGTTACATATGTGTTGTGATCGTATCTACCTCAATCAATACACAAAACAATATAAAAATGATGATGCATTAACTCATTATTTATCGTGACCAAAATAAGAAAAGTAGTATTATGAATATAATATTAGTTGAACGGTGTTAATCATGTCCAGTTGTGTACACAACAGATTTTATATACATATGGATTTCAAGTTATAAAGTGTAATGTTCCAGAATGTCACCCCAAATAAAATACTACTATATCAGTTAGGACTTGAATCATTTATTTGATTTAACACATTCAAAACTTTAAAACCCTAATTAGATCAATAAATGGATTTAGTGTAAGATTGCAAATATTATAACAAAAAAAGGCATGTCGGCCTTGCAAGACAAGAATCAAGATGATCAGGCAGACCCATGTTTTCTTTTATTTTCCTTATTTTCCGGTGAAAAGTAGCCCTAGCATTCGTTTAATTTGGACCATGGATTGATGAAGCTTTAACTCTATGATTTAGTAAATTTCAAAGTGCATGTAACCTTTAACCACTACAAGGTGATTTAGTGATTAGAGATAAACTTTAGATTTGTATTTTATATGACACATCATTGGTTCAATTCATGGCGCTGATGAATCACACAATGATGGTCATGAGATTGAAATATCTTTATAAGTCTTTTTAACTTTTGAAATAGTAGACTGTTATGACAAAACTACCTATTAGTCCCCTTAAAAAAAAAGGGTACATGTAATAGTTTTGGTAGTAAAATTATTGGAATACAATGTGGTACGTTTGAAATGCTTCCATCCTGTGTTAAAGAGACACGAGGATGTGTTTCACCTGTCAGGGTGACGTACAACTCAAAACATTGATACCACCAAACACTTCCCAACTCTCTTTAGTTGCACCTAATGAAGGTTTATCTGCTTTAGTTGACCTAATTAATCTTTCATTTCTTTCATTTTCTCTTCTTTAGGCTTTTTAGTCAAAATGGAAATAGGTTTAACTTCTCACTTTTGTTTCTAACAATGAAAATCAATAGAAGTGGTCTATAATTTTTTCTACCGTAAATCATTTTGATTATTGCGTGAAAAATTTACCAATATTCTTGTCAAGTGGAGAAGTTGGTTTGATAAAAATACCTTTTAAAAGGTAGTCACTTGGTCATTACGTGACAATTTAAAGAGGATATCTCCAAATTTTTCACCGAATGACCAAAATGATTTACGGTGGACAAACTCATGGACCACTTCCATTAATTTTTATTGTCAAAGATCAAAGTGAATAATTCTACTAATCTCATATACATTTTTTGCTAAAAAGCTTTTTTTAATATATATACGAGCAATATTGAAGAAGGGAGAATACATGACGTGAGAGCATGAGCTAATACTTCCAGCCATTTAGTGCTAGCCTGAGATTGCATTTATAAGTACTTCTGCTCAAAAGCTCTTTTGAAAGAAATTCTTTACTAGAAATATGTTAAAACTTTTATACAAATTTAAGTGCTTCCAAGCACTTGTAAGCATTCTTGTCAAACGTAGTTATACAAGAACAGCTGCTTTTGATTGGTGACAAAACTAGAATTGTGAGGATGTGGGGGAGGGGGAATGTAAATTTGTATACAAGAAATAGGTCAATATTGGCGAGTAATGGATTGAAGCTAAATGTTTTCTGACTTATTCATGTCTAGATTGTTAAGAGGGGGCCATTAGCTTTAGTTGCATGTTCATTATTACCTTTATATAATATCACATGCATGTAGTAAAAGAATAATTTAAATCCTAATGACCTTTTATTCAAAATAGTCACTGAGATTGATATAATTATTCACTTTAGTCTTTATGTGAGAAATCTTCATTAAATTGAGAGTATTTTTGTCAAATTAACCCCTCCCTTGAACTAGTGATTTCTTCAATTTAACAGATATTTTTTTACAGAATGACCAAAATGGTTAACAATAGATAATCTTAGGGACTATTTTTATCGATCTTAAATCTCAAGAACCAAAATAAAAAGTTATGACAATCTCACATAACTTGCGGCTAAAAAGCCAACCCAATATACGAGTGACTCCGTTACTGCTTTTAATTGTTAAAAAGCAATTTAGCTGTTCCAATAACAATCCAACATAATGTTAAAACTGCAAAACCCATTATATTTGTTTGAATCGTTTTTCTTATCTTTGTTCACAAGGCTTTATGAACATTAATAATGTGAATTTTGTGTAACACACGCAATGAAATGTCGTATCCATTAATATAAAAAATAATACAACAAACATTGTCCGATTGCACATGCTCTCAATCACTAGCATGTTCCATGCGAGGCTCTCTTTTGTTCTTTAGTACTACTACTAGTGGTCTATTATTTTTTAATCAAACTTTAATATCACTCTAATTCATCCTAACGTCTCATAACTGCTCATTTGCCACACACGTGAACAATACAAATTCGGTAACGTAGAGCGCATGTGGCCGTTAGGTTTCACACATGGAACGACCTGCTTAGATACTATAAAGAAAGTTGAGATTGCACTATAAAACCAATTAGCAATATGAGAAGTAGTTCAACTTCTTGTAAGCCCTTACAAAAATTCTTATTTCACCGATGTGGAATACTTTTAGATTCACATCCTCACATGTATTTTTGGTTTCATTCCTGCGTCGTTCTCATCCTGTTTGAGAGATATTCTGTTCATGATCAGTGAATGACGGTAATCTAACTTCAGTTGTATCTGCGAGGGTACACTTATCGTGTGTAAGTGCTGTACTACTAGAGCTGTAAATCCAAGTAAACCAAAATAAGAAAAGAATAGCTGAGAAATATCACACATAGACTTCTATGAAGAACAAAAGGTTAGTAGATTTTTGGTTAGATGGACGGCCACCTGAATATATTATTAATCACACTAGTCATTAAATAATAATACTTCGTTTTACAGACGAGTAGTGATTTCACGTGTTAAATTATTGAAATATGAAAAACGTCTAATTGGATTATTAGTCCTCTCGTGATGATAGAAAAGTTGAAAGTTAGATTTTGTGATAAAATTTAATTTAAATCTTTGTGGTGAAATCTGTTAGGATTTAGCTTCAAAATTAAAAGTTTCGCTAAGTTTCTGTTAATTGTTAGTACATGAAACTTGTGTGCTAGTAATTAACGAAAAATTGACAGAACTTTCAATTTTGGGTCTTATCCTAACAGGTCTCACTACAGTAGTTTAAATCTTAATTGACCATCGTTTAACTACCTTATCACCACTAGACTATTAATCCAATTAAGCCTAAGAAACATAAATACCAAATATGAAAGCTTTGGCCAACCAAAGCAAAATGAAATATTCTTAATAAAAAGGAGAACAAGGATAGAAAGGTCGGGGGAAAAAGGAGTAAGAGCGCCAATAAATGTGATTAAGGTAACGACGCGTGGTTCCCGTGAACGGCTTTTATATTCACTCTCCCATCTTTCACCAGCCTCCCCATTCCCATTCCCATTGCCCCCCTCTCCTCTCTCCTCCTCTCTCTAAAAACCTCCACCCAAACAAACAACTCGAAACTCCTCTCTCTCTCTTTTATCAGGTATATATATATATATATACACAATTGTACATGTATATGTATATATACACACACACACATATGTGATTTGCTCATATTGTTTTCATCGTAATTACAATCGTTTTGTATGATTATATTTGCAGGTGTGTGTATATACACATATATACTATATATATGGGCGATTGTTGAATTGCTTTCTCAACATATTTCGGATATCTTCTTCCATGGCGGCGTCGATGATCTCAAACGTTGACGGAAGCCTCGACGCGTCGTCGATAGAGTCGAGCAGAAAAAAGCGGAGAAAAACCGGAGTCGTGGAGGAGGATCGGAACCGGAGCTCAAAAGCCGGAGTTCGATGGGGATCAGAGACGGAGCAACGGATCTACTCGACGAAGCTCGCGGAGGCCCTTCGTCAGGTGCGACAGAGATCGTCTACGTCATCGTCGGCGGCTGTGGCTAAGGTATCGGGCGGCGGGAGAGACGTGAAGGAAGCGGCAGACCGAGTTCTGGCTACGGCGGCGAAGGGGACGTCTCGGTGGAGCAGGGCGATCCTAAGAAGTCGAATGAGGCTGAGCAAAACGCTTCACAAGCGGAGAAGGGCGAGGGTAACAGGGGACAACCGGTTGAAGAAAACGGAGTTTAGGAGAGAGAGGAGGAAGTTACCGGCTGTGCAGAAAAAAGTTCGGGTTCTGAGCCAGTTGATTCCTGGCTGCCGGAAGACGTCGTTGCCGAACCTTCTAGAAGAAACTACCGATTATATAGCAGCTTTGAAGATGCAGGTCAGAGCCATGGCGGCTCTCGCCGAGTTACTTTCTGGTTCGCCGGTGAACCGCTCCGGCTCGAGTGTCAACTCTTCGAGTTGACGCTGAGAGTCGCCCGCCTCGGCTTATTGTGCCAGGTGTTTTTTTTTTTTTTTTTTTGTAATTTTTATAAATATTTAATCTTATGAAATTTATTTCGTGTATTTTATTGTATACGTAGCTTTTTCTTTTCTTCGCTTCCCTGCTATCATTTTTTTTTCTTTTTATTTTTTAATCTCTAATTTATTGAATTGATGGAGTATTCCACCTAGTTGATTTCCATCTATCGACAAAGACTGTTAATTAAACAGAGTCTCTCCAACTTTAATTTTTTATTTTTAGAATTGTTATTATCATTCGAAAATAATTATGTATTTTTTTTATTGAGCAACCGCATGGGAAGTATTTTTTTAATGTAAACAACGATTTCGATCTCAAAAGAAATGATACCCTCGTTCGAAAAAAAAAAAAAGAATGAAATTTTACTAACATACTTCGGGGTCATGCCTGATTTTACTTAACTTTAAATAACTGGTTGCTTTAAATATAAATTAGTATAGATTATCGTTTGTATTAAACTAAACTTTGAACAGTTTAACCATAATTATTCACATAGCTGTGTTGATTTTGCTACACAACTGTTATCAGATTATCAATGAATATTATAGAGGGTAGTGCTAACTACACATTCATTCTTCTCGCACATTCTTCTCAATTCTCGTAAATTCCTCTCAATTTTCGATTCTCGCACATCCCACTATTCTATTATGCATTCCACAAAAATTGAATTGATCAATTGTTCACATTCGCAGTTCAACAATATGATATAATAATCCATTAGCTTAAACCTACATAAACGCATCAGCAGAAGAAGTGTGGTTAGTCTTGCGTTTAAATCTCGCCTAAACCAAATCTAAAGTTATCTATGCAGAAACAAAAGGCATAAAGGGAAAGTGATTAGCTCGTAAGTGCGATTAAGACCTATGATACTACGTTTATTAATATTCCCTACTTTACTTTGAAGCTAAGCAAATAATATAAGGGCTAATTTTCCGTACTTAGAGCAGTGTGATTTCTTGTGCAATTATAAGTCGACCTACAAAAAAAAAAAAAAAAAAAAATCTCTTTCTAGACGAAATAATTTTGTCAAGTAAAATAAGATTTTATTGCCTATTCATATGACGAAAAATATCATCAGGCAATGTCTATCGCTCAAATGTTTGCTCAACAAATTATAAAACTCCGTTGAGCAAATAGTCTTTGCCCAACGACTAAAAATTTGCCGTCGAACTATGTTCGTCGGGCAAAGATCTTTGAAAAAACTAAAATGTTGACCATGTTTGCCCTACCAATTATTTCATTCCATCAAATAAAGTTACTGTAGCCAACAAAATATAATTTGTTGGGCAAATGGTAGTTTTTGGTACTGCGAATTTTCTTCTATGTAGTTTAAATTTGTTTGGATAAAAGAAAACAATTTCAAGGTCTAATTCATTTTGGGTCGATCTTTCCCAAAACGAGAAATTAATCAACTTATTTTTTAAGTCAAAGTTGAAGGCAGACTTGAATTTTGTTAAGTTGACTGAAGCAATGTGCTCTTTCTTTGCACTCAAGTTTGAAACCTTGCTCCCGTTTAATGTCAACTATATAAAATCAAAGTTTGAAAAGTACAACTATTAGTTACAGCAACATCTAAGAGAACCAAAAATTTATCAAAATTTACCTTACTTTTGATTTCTATGAAAATGGCGAAATGGTAAGTTTGGCTTGTTTGGAAGCAAAATATTGGTCTTGTTGTAAGTTTGCATCCAAATGATGAACTGAAATCGGTTCACGCCTCCTGACTGAATTCTACGCCACTTCACACTGCATATGACCATGTATGCATTCTCATATTAGAGTTAAGTACAATTAATCAGTTACACTCTAACTGTTGTGGTCAATTATGTCCTTTCCCTTAAGGCCCACCACATGAATGATGGAGATTAGAGACCATATATGCTTAATCTTCCAAAACTTTTGCAATGTTACTCACCCTGATTGCCATACAAAAATGGACCTGCCATACAAAAATGTACAAAAATGGACCTGCAGCTTATCCCTTGTATTGTATGGCACTCAAGATTTTCATTGTGTTTGTCATGTTGGTGTTGTTTTGTTGTTATATCTGTTATCTTAAAGGGTCGTGTCGTTTCAAATCCCATTATCTTAACGGGTTATTTTCAAGTGCCCGATAACGACCCGATTCTTTATTGGATCATTTAGTTTCATGTCGGGTTAACGGGTCATGCAAGAAATTGCCATGCATTATGTCTAAATAAAAAACGATATCTTATCGGTTTCTTAATGGATGACTCGATAACGACTCGACTTGTTAACTGGTTCTTAACAAGTGACCCGATAATAACCCGAATCGTTAATGGGTTGACCCAAAATCTGTTATTTTCATGTTGGGTTATTGGGTTGTGCTAAAAGTTGCTAGGACATCTCATTAACTAAAAATCTTTGACTTCAAGCAAGAATAAACTGCTTGTACCGCATTTATTGATTACTTTGTTGACCACTTATTTAATAGAAGTGAACTTCATTTGTATATGTGAAATTCACATGTCTTAAAGAGATGGTCTAAAATGTGATCAAAATAGCAGCACTCTTCAAGCAAATAATTTGTAGCTGGGTCAGTAAGAGCATTCCTCTATGTACCACACGATTATGTACGTACACTCCAATAATTTAGAAGATAAATTGAAACCAACCTCAAAACGAAATGAATAAATAACCATTTTCTTGCATGGTCATCCATAATGCATGCATCTGATCCGAATACTACTATTTGTACTGTCCTTCTCAATAGTCATTAGTCAGTAATGAAAAATAATAGCAACCAGATTTGAAAATGAAATTTGAAGGTTGGGAGGGGATTCTCTGGCGATTTTGGATATTTCTGAGATATGAAATCACGCATAAGGAGGAGGTGGTCGGAAAGAAAAAATAAAAATTAGCCCCACTGCCACAGAATTGCAAGCCAACTTGGCCTTACAAGAAACAGCCGCACATCATGCGCCTCAGGGACCCTACAATTCCAAGGGCACTGACCCTTCAACGAGTCCAAACCCTAATCTCAAAGGCATGCATGTGCGTCCAGAACAAAACTTCACATGCTATTTTAACCAAATGGGACATGCCCTATAACTAAAGGGCACTCAAAAAATATTGCTCCACAAGCATTCAAATTTTAGTACGGGGGATTGAATTTCTTTTTTTAGGAAGCATCGATGATATAAGGAAATTTTTATTGATATGAAAAACAAAGTTATACTTACTGAGGAGGACATAAATCTTATCCATTAAAAGACAAGAACAAATATATATATATATATGAAATTATAAAATATAGTAATTTCTAAGAAAACAAATGGCAACACCCCCTAGACTTGCCATAAAAGATAGTAATTCCTAAGTAAACAAATGGTATTTTACTTCCTTTGAACCCAAAGAAGCGCTTAACCACAACTTTACGATCCATTGAAGTAGAACCCAAATAAAAAGTACTTTTTATCCCTTCTTGATAAATTGATCAGGGCGCTAACTACAGCTATCGAAGAAACTTTGTAAATTACGCAAAGTGACCTTATCACCTGCATACGTACATTACATGAGAAGGAGAAATACAACCTCTTGGAGCATAAATTGGCTTAGTGAGCCGAGCTAATTAAAGTCGACTCAAACCCCTTGATAAAGCCTTCTCTGCTAGGCAGAAAATCAAAGGAGAGAGGGGTTCTCCTTGTCTCACCCCTTCCCCAGAATAAGAGAAAAAAAATCACGAGGGGGAACCATTAATTAAAACGGACAATTTAGCAGACCTTAAAATAGTAGATGTGGAGCCAAAAATAATCTGAAAATCCTGAAAATGACAAGTGGACTTTTACCAGCGAAAGACAATAATGCGCTTATTAAATTGGTGAGACCCACATTTAATCCACACACAGTTCAATATACTTAAAGACTTGAGCAGCTGACTACAACCTCATCAGGCTCTTATAGCAAGGAGAAAAGTCAAGGGCACTAAATATATGATTAATTACTAAATCTTATCTTTATGCTTTCCTAATTGAAGATTAACTCCATCAAACAAGGAATCACAATCATATTCCAAAATCAAGGATATTACAAGATAATCCCAAGATATTATTATCTTTAGGATGTTTCTTTCCTCATCCATCTTATGGATGAATGACCTTGGCCAATTGAATGCTGAAACATATCAGTGAAAACCATACACATATGGTCAACCCAATGCTTTATAATTACCTCATTCTCCACCAAATTTTGGTAAGCTCTTGCTACACAATCAAGTCCTAAACTCTCTCTTTAGAGAAACTGACTTTGGCACCGGAGATTCATTGGCAAAAAACACACCCCTACCTCGTGGGCGGGCGTAGCTTTAGTCTTTAGTAAAAAATGTTTATTTGTTTTGTAGGTACAAATCCGTCAAGATTGCAGCCGCTGATTTTTGCTACCACAGTAGACACCAGTCCACAAAAAAAGTAGAAAAATCAAAATTACAAAGCACTCGCAAAGAAAGACCAATTTAAGGTATCAAAAGCCTAAACTATATCAAATTTAACTCCAATATGTTACAACTATGAGTTTTTTTATCAAGCACATGAAAGCACTTGGGAACAAGGCCAGTGCAACCTGTGATACGTCGGCCAGAAATAAAAGAAGCTTGCTATAAAATATTTATATAAACATTATGGTCTAGAAGAAGGTTTTATAGGGCATGTCCTATCACCAAATGTCACTCTTAGGCATTTCAAATTCCTATTTGGGAGACCTTATCACGTTGCGAATGGAGACATGAGGGGGGAGATGCCTGAGTGGCATCCCTATCAAGTTGTCCGTATAGAGATCAAAAGGGTTTTTCGAATCAAGGACCACATATTTTGTGTTTTTGTAAGCTTTGCCAATGCATGCTCTGTACGTTTTACGGATTCACATTATTTGTGTGCTTTTTGTTCCCCCATTTATTTTTTCATATCAAACACACACCATATACTCACATGCTTCCATGTGCCTTCTTTTAAAACCTATCTTTGCTTTCCTTTTGTTATTTTCGTTATTATTTTGAGTTATATGGGTCTACCACACGAGATATACATGA